ACTGTAAAATAATATAGGTTTTATGTATATTCTCTCACTGACTTCTTTAGCAAAGGTGATTCTTTTACAAGTAAAAAAAAAGTTTTTGGTGCAAACTCTACCACGGTTGTGAAAATTAAGATGAAATATAGTTCCTCATCATCGGTACTAAAAAAGATTATGTAGTTAGAATTTAACTATGTTTTGCTGAGCATGTGCAATATTGAATAGAATCTAGCTCATTTTTCTCTACTTGTATTAGCTCTGCAGCATTAAATAGTAAGAAAACTTGGGTGAAAGGGGGTAAATAGTTAAGTAAAGAACCATGATTCAGTAATGCATAGGGAGCAAATATGCTGAGTAAGAAGGTGCCATGTGTATTTTTTTTTCTCTTTTTCTACAAAATGATTCAGGGCATTGCTATAAAGTCATTTCACTAGGGCCAGTAATGCTGATATGGTCATAACGTCTCAAGAAACGATTTAAGTCAGGTGTCTTGTTGCTAAATTGTTGGAGATAATGAAATTCAAAATCAAGGTAATGGGCCTTGATTCAGCAAAACACTTAAGCACATGCTTAACTTTAAGCATAAAAGTCCCATAGAAGTCAGTAGACTATTCATGTGCTTAAAGTTAAGCATGTGCTTAAGTACTTCCACGAATCAATGCCAGAGTCCAGCCTTCCAGGGTATCTTCAGCATTTGAAAGGCAGAAGGAGTTTATTTTATTCCTGCTGTAGGTTACTGACTTAAAAGGAAAAGTGTCAGTAGAAAAGAAAAGAAAAGAAAAGAAATGAAAAGAAAAGAAATCATACTTCTGACTGAACATTGTTTTCCTATTATTGTTACCAGTAGCATCTAAAATGAATAACTGAAATAAATTAGAGACAAAACAATATTTTGTTGTTTGTCCCGTCCCCCGTCCCCCCCCCCGTGTTAACTGGGCATTGTGCAATACTTTCTATATGTTCAGTTCCACTGTTTCCCCTGTAGAATCTGTTAGTTTCCCTTCTTGATCCTGCTAGTTCTTTCACAAAGCAACCAGGGAGGGGGAAAAAAACCTTTTAAAATAATAGAAAGTGATTGTTGGGGGGGGGGCCCACAAAAATTGGTAGGAGGCATGTCCCAATATAATACCTGAAACTACTTGTAACTTTTTTTAAATTGACTATATTTCAAGTTGATTCACAGATTCCAAGACCAGAAAGGACCACTGTGATCATCCAGTCTCACTTCCTGTATAACACAGGCCATTGAATTTCCCCAAAATAATTCCTAGAGCATATATTTTAGAAAAAGATCTTGATTTAAAAATTTAATCTAATCTTGATTTAAAAATTGCCAGTGATGAAGAATCTACCATGACCCTTGTTCCAATGGTTAATTACCCTCACTGTTAAACAGTTACACTTATTTCTAGCCTGAATTTGTCTACCAGCTATTGGACAGTGTTTTACCTTTCTTTGTTAGATTGAAGACCTCATTATCAAATATTTATTCCCCATGTAGGTTCTTATAGATTGTAATCAAGTTACCACTTAACCATCTCTCTGTTAAAATAAACACAGTGTCCCTTTAATTTTTTTCAAGTAAAGTGCTTGAGTCTTTCCTAGATTATTCATGACAGTACAGCAGACAATCCAAAGTATTGTTCTAGTTTATAACATTGTGTCTGTTTTACTATTGTGTTTTTGGCCAATTGTCTATTATTTCTTATACTCTATAATATAAAAAATGTTCCTATAAACAAAAGAACAACTACTGAAGAGTCCACATTTTTAATTTAATTTGATTTGATAGAAAACCAACCATCAGTAATTAGAGAGACACAGTGGAATAGTTTAAAAGTTTAAAATGTACTGAGCTAGAGCCTCAGCTGATGTACATCATCGGAGTTCCATTGACTTCCTTGACGAGACACCAATTTAACTAGTTGACATCTGGTGCAATTGTGATTTATTTTTAAAAAAATAGATGAAGGTTAGAAAGGGATTAGTTTAGATTATGTCTATGTCTGCTCGTTTTCTGTGATGATATATGCTATCTTTACCAATTGTACAAAAGAGATGTAATGTACTGAAGTTTTCTAAAATAAATATTAATTAATATTTTACATTTCAACCATCTTTTGACCAATTATATCAAATCATTTCACAAAGATTAGCATCATTGTTCTCCGTTTTATAGGTGGTGATACTGAGGTACAAAGAGGTTCAGTGACTTGTCCAAGGTCATACAGTGAGTCAACAGCAAGGTCACACAATGAGTGGTGCCTGATTCCCAGCTTTCTGCTCTTAACAACTGAACTACAGGATTTATAAGATGAAAACACTGAAAGGACAGGTCATGGGATCATAGCACTCCTAAATACATGGCAAAACAAAATGACAAACTTATGAAGTATGAACAGTCCTCAAAAGTATTTTGAACCAATATATTTTTAAAAACATCAGGACACCCTGCAGTATGTTTGCTTCTTACACATCTCTCTCCCCTCCCAAAATATACCACTCACTGTGAAGCGGGGGGGGGGCAAAGAAGGGGTACTTTTTGTTTTTTTCTAACTGGGATAACAATTGGATCCCCACAGCCTTCCATTTCTCTTCGGAAACATAGGAATCCAAATTGGACAGAAAGATAGCCTGAAGAATCTTACTGTCATGGAAACAAGTCATCATTAATGAGCTTTCTAATAAGTGATTAACACCTGAATGCCATACATAATTATTGATTGGGAATCCAAATGTACACAGAGCAACCGCAGTGCCAGAAGTCTGGATAATGAGCAAACAAACAAGTTATCTCACAGTTTCTTCTTTCCATCACTTTACTGAGCAGTGCTATTTACATGCAATACGGGCTTCCTTTCACATCAGAAGCCACAGAAAGTTTCCTAATTCGGAGCTGACAAACTGCTATGTGGAAAAAGAGCTTCTCACACTACTGCTGAATTGCTCCTCTTCCCCCATCGACCTTATTCCACCCAATAGTTACATTTCCCAGGAGTCAAGATGACTCTCTCACCTACCTCAGAGGTTTGTGGTGAGGCTGCCATGAATCAGGACAGGGAGCTTGCTTCTTGTTAGCAGGGAGTTAGAAGACATTAACAAAACTCCATCCCCCCATATAACTAACCTAACACATTTTCACGCCAGAGCCACTTTTCGCAACACTTGTTTGCTGAACCAAAGAAGAAAACAAGTCAGTGGCTGCCAGAGAGACCAAGCCTGTCCCAATGCGAAAGCAGCTCTGTGCCACTGGCACTGCCAAGGTAAAACTCGCACTGGAAGAGACAGCCAGAGGTGCTGCAGGGAGATGCCTGACAGCCACATGACTTCTCCGGACGGAGGGGAGGGGATGGTACCTTTCAGTGCAAGAGAGACACGCTGGTGCACAGGAGCCATCGCCACCAAACTCAATCTCCTTCCCTAGCTCTCCTCTGCCCTCCTCCACACCTCCATGACAGATTTGGTGCGTGGCCACCTCGCCCTGGCTTCCCGTGTCCCAAGCGCCCAGACGCTGCCTGCAAACTTCACTGGCGCTACAGCGGGCTCCAAACGCATCCCTACAAGCTCCCGAGCAAACCCCAAGGTGCAGCCTGCGCCGCCAGCCCGGGGAGCCTCGCCTCCTGTTGCGCCTCTTGGCTAGAGCCACCGTGATCCCCGCCTCGCCTCTAACCCTGGCCCGTTCCCAGGTGGCTAACCTGATCTTTTCGATGCCCAGCCGGAGCCATAGGAGGGTTTGTGCTGGCTGGAGGACCGGCCTTTTGGGGAGTTATTCCGCAGGGCTGTGCTCAGGACGGGCGGGAGTGTTTAATCCACCAGGCTGAGTTTTAGGGAGCAGCCCACACGGAGGGGGTTAGCGCCGGAGGGCACGGTGCATGCTGCACTGGATTGCTCTGAGGAGTCAGCGCAGGGATGGGGCTAGATCTGGGAGGGGGAGGGCTAAGCGATTTGAGTTACTTTTGGGGGTCCCTGCTGGGACGAGGTATAGGGGAGTACTGCACGCAGGGCTGGGGGGCATTAGGGAGTACTGCACATATGGGGTACTGGGGGCCCTGCGGGGATGGGGAAGAGGAGAGAACTGCACACAGGGATGGGGCATTAGGGAGTATTGAATACAGGAGAGGGGCATAGGGGAGTACTGCACACACGGGGCACCGGGCACGGCCCAGCTGGGGCGAGGTTTATACCCCAGCGCCCGGCTGGGGGTGGAAGTGGGAGCCCTGCCTGGCTAGGGCGAGCCCTGGCGCGCTGCACCGACACGGGCACTCACCTAAGCAGAGCCGGGCAGATTCCTCCGGGGAAGAGCCAGCCAGCCAGCGGCGCTGGGATCCTCTCGAGCCCGGCGGCGGCTCCCCGAAGGAGGACTCCAGCCGGGCGGCTCACAGAGCGGATCCCATCTCCCCCTCCTGCCTTGGGACCCACCAGCAGGCGGGGAAAGGCAGCTCTGGCTGCCGCTGGCGGGCGGGCGGGGAAGGGAGGAAGAGAGGGGAGCGCCGCCGCGCCGGGCTGCCTCTCCCCTCGGACCCGGCCTCGCTGCCCTGCCCAGGCGCTCCGCAGACTTCACTGGCCCCTCCGGGTAATTCCGCCGCCGCCAGTGGCTCCCGGCGCAGGGGGGCGGGCCAGGGGAGCCGCGGGTCAGGGGCAGGAGCCTGCAACCAGCCAGGTTTCCCGTGCGCTTCCCCCGGTTTTCTCAAGGCAGCAGCGCGCCCTGAAGGCTGGGGCGAGTTCCGCTGGCACCCGAAAAGCCACGAGCCCAGCAGCCCCAGGTAACTCACTGCTGCCCGAGCACACCAGGGCGAGAGCTTGGGTTACTCCACATTTACCGCTCGGTTCCCTGGCCAGCAAGTCCTAGGCTGCAGGGAGACACTCCCCCCCCCGCCCCAGCCCCTTTCTCCAGGCTGTTCTTCGGTGCAACTGCATCTGCTGCTTTACAAAAAAGAAATGTCCCTACGAGCCTGATACTTACTTCAAACAATTCCTACAGGATGTGGTGATTTGCTTGTCATTCTTCATCATAAAGGCTCTGTGTTAAAGGCTGTGTCATAAAAGTTAATTACACTGAGGAGGGAAATCATATGAAACATGCCAAAATAAAAGGAGGCGGGGGGAAGAGTTCAGCGTCTATTATGATGCAAAGTTTTGATCCGGATTTAACAGAGTAATATACTCTGCTTTTAGCATAATAACTATTATCCAAATAATGATCAGTTGATAATGCGGAATAATCTTGTCACAACATCGCTTAGAACGCGTGTCATTTCCCCCCTTCTACAGTCGCGCTCCCTATTTATTACGATGGTTTTTCAGTGTACTTCCAGTTTAAGAGCCTTATTTGATAAATGGCATTTTGGGGGTTATGCACATTCTAGAGCATTTAGTAACCCTGTGAGAAGCAATCCTCTTTTGAGGATGTTTCAAGTCTTGCTAAATCTCCAGGCTTTACATTTTTGAACATCGTTACTGATTTAAGGATATTTATCACATACATTTTTATTTTCAAGATTAAGGTTTTAAGGTTTAATACATCTATTGGCATCAGCAAGGAATTTATTTACTTCAGATTTTTTTAAAAAACATCTAGTTTACAGCTCTAAGGAAAATATTTATTTATCAAGACAAAGCCACACATGATCCAGTTTAGTTTGAATGAATTGTACACAGCTAGATCCTAGCGCATTGCTCGTCAATAAAGCGATTCAGTTAAAAATAAATACTATCTGTGAGAGTTGTGCCCTATCTATCTTCATGCATATATCTAGAGAGATACGCCTTGGTTGGAACAAAATTAATTGCTAATGAAGACATGGTTACTATGGTAAGCGTGTGTTTGTGTATGGTACAACCAAGCCTCAATTAGTGTTGAAACTGAGCACAGCAAGTGCAAATACTATTTGCTACGAGGATGTGTTAAGACACTTGAATAGCATCTCCTAGGAACAGTGACGCAAGTAGTAGTGTCTGGTACCACTGCTGGCAATTAGTAGCTTTTGCTTAGTAACAATACAATAGTTTGATTCCTGCATCTTACTACAAATTAAAATAGCTAAGGTTAGACAGGTCTAAAGTACTCTTACTTAATTTCCCAGAGTTTAAATAGGCTCTGGGGCAAAAAAGCATCTTGCAAGAGGTAAAAGTCTGATTTTTAATGATGTGTTTCCACAGACACATACACACAAAACCACTGACGATTTCATTGTTCCTAATTTAAATGTGTATTTAAGCAGACCTACATAGGTAATCTCGGTATCTAGTCTGAAATAGGATACTCCTATTTCTCTGAAAGAGAAAAGCAAATGCTTTGTAAAAGCAACATCATCATGGGGTGATTCTCTCTCTCTCTCTCTCTCTCACACACACATACACACAAGAATAGGGCAGTATTAATAGGGAAGAAGCAGTGCAGTGATTTATGAGCTGTTTTCTCAATTGCTCTTGCTCCCTTCTTCAAGCACTCCCACCCCAATCACATTGTGATCTGAAAAGCATTCAGAAGAGACTGACCTCAGTGCAAGGCAGCCTTAAATCTACCCAAAGGTCTCTGCATGTAATTTAAATTCTTAATAATACCTCTATCTCTTCTACCTTTTACTATGTAAACTGTGCTCCTGCAAAACAGGAATAGACACTGTTGTGAAAGTGATGACTCATGCTAGCCAGATGTATATTATTTATTGTTTGGGAATGGAGCTACATTTAAATTAGGCTGCTTAATAATACACTTTTGTATGTTCAAAACTGCTTCAGTTCAATTATAATATAGAGGAAATTAAGTACCATTTTGTAATCCCAATTTCTCTCTTTGCAATATTTTACCTAACTCTTGTGTGTGACAGTATGGCTTCCTAGCTTTCAACTCCACTATTTGAATATAGCACATTCCAGCTGGTGAAATACACTTCATTTATAATATGCACAGGCATTGGACATGGAAAGGAGTAATTACAAATGTATTTAGCAAATCGGATAAAAATACAAACAGTGAGTTCTATATTTTAGATCAGCATGTCTAGTCAGAAATTTAAAAGCTACAGCAGACAGTTTGAATTACTAATTTTTTAGGATTTTAAAAAGAGATCAAGGTGTTGTGCCATCCTGCCCCTATTCTACATAACAGGGTCTTTCATTACATGATCACATGCAATGAGACAATATTATACTCTTGGGGACAATTCTTTTACAAACATGAGTTAAAACTGCAGGATGGTGGGTGGGTAAATGTTAATATTCCATACACTTATTGTGGCAGATTTTCAGATTATACACAAAAATTGGCATATTAGTCTATCAATTTAGTATTACATAATGATTCTGTACGTTCACTGATTCCCCAAACTTCTAAACCCAAAGAACAAAATACTGACTAAAAAAAACCGAATAGCTGAAGGGAAAGCAGCAATGAGCTATTCCATTCTGTATTTTTTCCATTTTGTTTTGTCAGTAGGCATACACAGGCATCCTTGATGTAGGTTCTCCCTTGACAACCTATATCCAATGAAGAGGAATGTGTCAAGGAAACTCTCACCAGCCTGAGTCAAAGATTCAGGAGTAATGCCAGGTGTCTCGTAGTGAAGCAATAAGGCTTAAACCACTCATTTATTCTGTTATTGTTCTTTCAGTTAAGCCAAGACCCCTCACTCATCCATCCGGTTGTTGCAACTGACCAATATGGATCAGAGGGGGAGCTAGAGCAGCTAGTTTCCTCCAGGCAGCACAAGATGACAGAGGCCTGAATCCACAAAGGGACATAGACAACTTGAAAATCACAGGAACACCAATACGATTCACAAAGCCTGAATTAGGTGCCCAGACTCTCTATACATTGCATAGGGGGAGAGAAACACCTAAGAATTCAATCCACAAAAGCCAGAATGCTAGGCAGGGGGCTGTCTAAACTAGCCAATAGGAGATGCTGATGAGAGGGGTATGTCCTAAGTCCTGCCCTTCTCACAGTGTGGGCACTTAACTCTGGGCAGCTGGAAGGCTCCTGTCTCTGCTAGTAATCCACAGCCAGGAACCCCTCTCCTGGGGTCAGATGGCTTAGGTGCCTAAGTCATTTCTTGTGAGAATAAGTTAGGCACCTGCCTCACGCCACACAAAACGGGGGGGGAGGAGTGCCCCACCTTATAACATTTAGCCCAGTTATTAGGCCTGGGTTAAATTCCCCTTCTGTCTGATGGGGAGAAAGGATTTGAACAAGAAACTACCACTTCTCAGGGGGTGCTCTAACCACTGGGCTATGGGATATTCTGATATGGTCAGGCTTTTAGCATATCCAACACCAAGATATATTTGTTGCAAATAGACTTCCTAGCTAATGTTAATGATTGCTACAGCTGTTTTACTTTTTACATCTCAAGGCCCAGATAAGTCTTGTGCATGAAGTATGCATAAAGTTAAACTTGTGTGCAAGTCTTCTTAGGGTTGGGCCCAAATCTCTGAGATTTTCATTACTAAAGATTTTAGTTTACCAATGTCAACAATTTGATGAAGTTTCTTCTTTGGAACTTTTGCAGTTTATATAATGCATAATTGTATTAACACTATTAATTTATTCTTAGTGTTACAATGTAACATGGATAATATTAATAATGTATTATTAGTATTTGCATTCCTATTATCACTCAGGTATAGAATGCCAGATTCTTTTTTTGTTTTGGTAGATCTCTCTCTCCTAAATATTTTAAATTGTTTTTGGTGGACTAATATAGTATCTTGTTGCAGTCAAATGCTCACTCTTTCCACACAGTACATGGAAAAGGGATACTATTGCAATAGCGTTTCAGCCATCTGTCGTAACTCATCTTTAATTATTATCAAGGGGATCTTTGTAGACTTTTTTTGGTAGGGAATTTGCATTCTGACCAGGTATATCCAAGACACCAGACCCTACCAGATGAGCAGCGTTGATATCTGCAGTGAATTAAAAGTCAGACAGCTGACTCTGGGGCTGGTCTACACTGGGAACTTACATCAGCATAGCTACTTCTCTCAGGGGTGTGGATTTTTCAAAAAATTTACACTCCTAAAAGAGGTAGCTATGCTGACCTAACCCCTGGGATAGACAGCACTAGGTCAACAGAAAAATTCTTCCATTGACTTAGCTACCACCTCTCGGGGAGGTGGATTACATCGCTGGAGGTAGTGTCTACACAAGTGCTACAGCGCTGCAGCTGTGCCACTATAGCATTTTAAGTGTAGACATGGAGAGGTACAAGCTCAGGTGGTTTGGATATAGTTACCGCATGGCTCAGAAAGATTGCCTAAGAAGGTTTTCAAAACCAAATGTCAAGGAAATGGCTCAGGGACGGGACTTACAGTTGTTGGCCAGGCTACATATATCATTTGTAAGAAGAAATGGAAGTAATATCTAAACGGTGGCCCAGAAC